TGGGAAGGGGTTGGGATGATGGAGGAGGAAGGGTAATAAAGGTGAGTGGCCCGTCCACTCTGGGCAAGTTGTGCAGAGATACTGCAGGGAGTTGTGTCGGTGTGAGATGTTCAGGCGGCGTGTTGGGTTGGGCTTCAGGTTTCAGGCAGGAGATGGCTGGAAGGGCAGTGGTGACTGGAAAAACAGGGTTGATTGGAGCCACACCCCAGTTTTAGCTAAAAGGCAAAGTGCTGGGGGACTTTAGCTTGTTGGTAGGTGGTGATTAGGCAGTTGAACAGTGGTTGGAGCCGTTGCAGACTGCATTGAATCTTGTTCTTGAGAGGTGCAGTACGTTTATTTTGGAGTTGGAGTATGATTTATTGTTGAGGTGGTAGAGTATGGATTCTAGGGTAGCAGGTGGGTTTTCGTGACAGGTGAACTTTGCAGTGTTGTCCTGGAGTCGTTGGCTAAGTTCTGGGAAGGGCATAGCTTTGCTGTATTGTTTCGTGGTGTAGAACGTGACTCCATTGTAGGTGAGGATCTGTGGGGTTGGTGGTGGTGGCTGAGCTGGACGAGGCGAGGCTTCTGATTGGACAGTTGCGGTAGTGGTGGAAGACTCTCATTGGTGGGATTTGCCGACGTCTCAGTGGTCTCTGATTGGTCCATCTCTGTGTCAAGTGGAGGTTATGGTAGCGGTGGAGCAGCAGTGATGTTGGTGATATTTGCAGTGGATTTTATGATCTCAGTGGAGGGTGGGGATGCAGGGAATGTAAAACCAGGCATATTGTTCAGCTTGAATAGTTCGTTGATGATGGTGTTGAAGGAGCCAGGTTCAGCTACATTCTGTACATGAGCATACATGATACAGTAAAGAATCTTCGTTGAGTCGCCGGCAGGAGTTGGCAGAGAAGTGGTAGAGCTTGCGTGGCTTGAAGAATCTTGGTAGTATCTGCTTGAAGCTTGGTAATAGCAGCATATGAATTTGCTTGTGGAGTGGGTTTCTTTTGCTGTTAGAGTTGCTTCTTAAGTATATCTTGTCTGGTTGGGCACTTGGCAGCAAGAATGTGGTGATCATTCTTGCAGTTCAAGCATTTGGGTGGTGAGGCAGTAGTGCACATCTTGAAGTCGTGGCCTTTTTGGTTGCTGGTGGAGCAGAATTTCTTATTCTTGGCAGGGCAGTCTTTGGTGGTATGTAGGTATGAGCAACAGTTGTAACACTGTGGGATTTGTTGAAATTATTCTGCTTCGATGAAGGCTGGGTTGATGTGGAAGTAGTGAATAGCTTCAGTAGCCTGGGCAGTGATGAGCCTGTCGAGTCTCTTGAGGAACACAGTTCTCCTGGCCCTCAGAGTTGGGGGAGTCAAGACAGTAAATCCCTGGTCTCGTAGAGTGGTTTTAGCAGTGGTGGTAATTAGTTTCTCAGCCTCGGTGTCGTCAGTACAGACGACAACGAAGGCCTCTTTGAGCGATAGAATCGCATTACACTTGACTTGCAATCTGCCACTGACGACAGCTGCAAGTGCTAGTTTGGACGAGTCATTGACTGTCCTACTCTCTGGTTTAATCTTTACTCTGTTCGAGTAATGCATCGTGAAGTGATGCAAATTAAAGGTTCCCCTCCCCAACGGGGATCGTAGGGAGATGTCGAGATGTCACTAACCAAATCGAGAAAAATCAGCTGGCCATACAACCATAGCTTGCATCATGGCCAAGAAAAAGGAAATCAAGGAAGCTGTTGTTGCAAAGGGGTAAATATGCTGACAAAAATGACATCGCCAGTACTCAAAGATGTTGAGAAGTTATTGTTGGTGTGGATCAGTGAGAAACAATTAGCAGGAGATACTCTTATGCAGTCGCTTATTTGTGAAAAGGCTAGGCAGTTGCATGACGATCTCATAAAGAAATTGCCTGCAGTGAGTACTGATATTTGTGAATTTAAGGCCAGCAGAGGCTGGTTTGAGAGATTTAAGAACTGTAGTGGCATACACAGTGTGATAAGGCATGGTGAGGCTGCCAGTTCTGACAAAAATCCAGCTACAAAATTCGTAAGTGAATTCAAGGAGCATATACAGACTGAACAATTAAAACCCCAACAAGTGTTCAGTTGTGACGAAACAGGCCTCTTTTGGAAGAAAATGCCACAGAGGCACTGCTAGGACACAAACCTATGAAAGACAGGGTAACTCTCATGTGTTGTAGTAATGCTAGTAGGGATTTCAAAGTGAAGCCATTACTAGTGTACCATTCTGAAAATCCCAGAGTGTTCAAGAAAAATAATGTCATGAAGATTAAATTGTGTGTGTTTTGGAAAGCTAATAATAAGACATGGGTCACGAGGGAAATTTTCCTTGATTGGTTCCAAGAAGTGTTTGGCCCCAGTGTGAAGAATTACCTCCCTTCAACCTTGGAACTCAAGTGCCTCCTGCTAATGGACAATGCACCTGCTCATCCTCCAAACTTGGATGACCTAATTCTGGAGGAGTTTGAGTTCATCACAGTGAAGTTCTTGCCCCCTAATACCACTCCTCTCTTCCACCCCATGGACCAGCAGATCATTTCAAACTTTAAAAAACTACACCAAAGCAATGTTTCAAAGGTGCTTTAATGTGACCACAGACACTCACTGGACCCTAAGAGAGTTTTGGAAAAATCATTTCAGTATCCTCCATTGCATAAACCTTATGGGTAAGGCTTGGGAGGGAGTGCCTACCAGGACTTAACTCTTGCTTGGAGAAAAATGTGACCAGATTGTGTCCACAAGAGGGATTTTGAAGGGTTTGGGGCTGAACTTGAGAAGCCTATGGCAGTTGTGGAATCTATTGTGGCATTGGGGAATTCCATGGGGTTGGATGTGAGTTTGGAGGATGTGGAGGAGTTGGTGGAGGACCACAACAAAGAGCTAACCACTGACGAGCTGCAAGAGCTTCAGCTGGAACAGCAAGAGACTGCAGCTCAGAAAATTGCTTCAGAGGAGGAGGAAGAGAGATGCAAGAAGGTGCCTTCTTCAGAAATTAAAGAGATTTTTGAAATGTGGAGTAGGATGGAAAGATTTATGGAGAAACATCACCCTGACAAAGCTGTTGCAAGCCATGTCGGCAACATGTACAGTGACAGTCTTGGTCCATTTTAGGGAAGTTTTAAAGAGAGACCAGAAACAGAGCTCTCTGGACAGGTATTTAGTGCCATAGGTGTGCAGTGACTCTCAAGCTGTTCCTAGGAATATTAAAAACGAAGAAGGGAAGTAACCCCAGAAAAGGACTTGGTACCTGAAGTCTTTATGGAAGGGGATTCCCCTTCCAAACAGTAAATAATCCAATCTCTCCCCTCTTCCAGTCTTCCATACACTAAGAAGAATTGCCAATTAAGGTAACTGTTATGCTGTTAATGTTTCATTCATCATGTCTCATTGTTTTCTGTGTATGTACATCTATATTTCATGTAAAAAAAAATTTTGTTTTAATACCTCTGGGTGCCTGGAACAGATTAATTGTATTTACATTATTTCTTATGGGGAAGATGGTTTCGCAAATCGTCAATTTCGATAATATTCACGCTTTCTGGAATGGATTAATTACGAAAAACGAAGGTCCACTGTATTAGTCATTCTGCGCTGAATGTTTTCTGTTGAATTTATACCCATTCTGTAATATGTGGAACACCACTTGTTACAGATCCCCACTCAGATTTAACCCCATTTAAGCACACACTCTGCTTCCTATTGGTGAGCCATGACTCAATCCATGGCAGCACTTTTCCCCCAATGCCATGAGCTGCCACTTTCTTTAACAGTCTCTGGTGCGCTATTCTATCAAAAACCTTATTAAATCTAAATAAACAATATCGAATTCTTGATCATGATCAACAGCCTCAAAAGTTTTACTGAAGGAGGTTAATAAATTAGGCAGGAATGGCCCCTCGTGAATTCATGCTGAGTATCATTAATCAAATTATGCTTATCCAGATTGCTTCTAATAATATCAGCTATAATTGACTTTAGTAATTTGCCTACAATTGAGGTCAGGCTTATTGGGTGGTAATTTGGAGGGTATATAACTCTGTAGTGGAAGGTAGGAGGGGTAGGGGTCATCCTAGGAAAGGATGGAGGTGGGGGTTAAAGTGGTTTTGTGTGCAGGGGCTTGGACATGCAGCAGGCATGTGTGAACATGTTAGACAGGAGTGAATGGAGATGAATGGTTTTTGGGACCTGACAGACTGTTGGAGCGTGAGCAGGATAATATTTTGTTAAGAGATCCAGGGAAACTGGTTAGCCAGATTTGAGTCCTGAGAGGCAGGAAGTTCAATGCCTGCACTTCAAAAAGAGGGGTTTGTGATATTGGATGTTTGGAGTGACATCTAAACTGTCGTATCTGAGCGCCTCTGCAAAGACATTGATTATGTGGGAATGATGGTGAAAGTGTTGAATGATGGCAATTTTTTTTTTGTGCCACCCTACTTCGGTGGGAAATAGCCGACATGTTGAAAAAAACAAACAAACAAAAAACATAGTTTATGCTCAGTGTACAAATAACCCTCATGTAGGAGAGAGAAGCTTGCGATGACATTTCAGCCCAACTTGGACTAAGTCAAATTATTGTGAATTTTGGTTCCTTGTCAGTGTTCAGTTCTTGCCTTCATAGGTAGCCAGTGCAGTTCATGCAAATATGGACTAGTGGGAATCCCAGTGTGGAGAGAATACCAGCCTAGCTGAACAATTCAATGCAGAATTTAGCTACACACTTCGGTATTATACTGCTCTTTTTTCATACAGTTAGGCAAATCTACACACAGTCAGTTGCAAAAATCAATTTAGAGAGGAAACAAACATAGATAAGGACCAAGATACTCTGCTTATAAGATATTGTATTTTCTGACTGTGTAGAGCTTACAAATATGAAAATTACAAGATGTAAGAATTTGGTTATTGTGTTCATCATTAATACAGTATTATAAAGCTAGTGCTTCTACTAGCATAGCCATGTACTTATAACTTTATAATATTATTTTTAATATTGCTTTAACAGATGATTTTCGCAAAATACAATTGAAGAATTTAGTTCGTGCTACTACAGACCAAGTGGATGCAGCGAAAGCAGTTATCAAAAAACTGCATTTCAAGTATGCACCGGAGAACTTTGATGATCCTGTACTTCAAACACATTGGCGTAATATTGAAGCCTTGGCCCTGAACAGATTGCATTTAGAACCTGTAACAGATTATACTTGTGAGTTGAAGGTTTCTCTTTATTACTATTTTTGTTAAATTGTTGCACTCCATTTGATATACAGTAATAAAGTGATAAATCTTATCTACAAAAAATGCTTGCAATAGTTTGCATTTTAATTTTTTTTTTAACAAGACAGATGACCTAAAAAGAAAAACGAAAGTTTCTTTTTTTAAATTTAGTAATATATACAGGAGGAGGGGTTACTAGTCCCTTGCTTGGAGGAAGAATTCTGTTCCATTTTCCCATGGAGATAAGAGGAAATAAACAAGAATGAGAACTAGTAAGAAAATAGAAGAAAACCCAGAGGAGTGTGTATATATATGCTTGTACATGCATGTATTGTGAACTAAGTATAAGTAGAGGTAGCAAGACATACCTGAAATCTTGCATGTTTATGAGAGAAAAAAGACACCAGCAATCCTACCATCATGTAAAACAATTACAGGTATTTTAAAACATGTTTATGCATATTAGTACACTTCTTCTTTCATTCTTTCAACACACCGGCCATATCCCACCGAGGCGGGGTGGCCCAAAAGGAAAAACAAGTTTCTCTTTTCACATTTAGTAATATATACAAGAGGAGGGGTTACTAGCCCCTTGCTCCTGGCATTTTAGTTGCCTCTTACAACAAGCATAGCTTACGGAGGAAGAATTCTGTTCCACTTCCCCATGGAGATAAGAGGAAATAAACAAGAACAAGAACTAGTAAGAAAATAGAAAACCCAGAGGGGTGTGTATATATATGCTTGTACATGTATGTGTAGTGTGACCTAAGTGTAAGCAGAAGTAGCAAGACGTACCTGGAACCTTGCATGTTTATGAGACAGAAAAAACACCAGCAATCCTACCATCATGTAAAACAATTACAGGCTTTCATTTTACATTCACTAGGCAGGATGGTAGTACCTCCCTGGGAGGCTGCTGTCTACCAACCTACTACCTAGTATATTAGTACACATTGTCAATAATTCAGGGAACAGAAGAGGAAATGTTGAGACGATTTAGTCTCATAGGAAGGTGGGAGCAGAGTTGGTTCACCAAGAGGGTGCATAAATCTGGAGTTGGAGTAGGTGGAAGGCTGTATGGAGTCTATTACAGGAAGGATTGACAAAAGGGTGTTAAGGAGGTTTAGAGAGGTTGGCTAGAGTATCCACTATGCCTGTGTGAATGTTAGATTGGAGCAAGTAGATACAAGTGTTCTTTTCTTGTTTGTCCTGTTAAAAGTGGGGGGATTTAGGAAAACTGGTTAGCCTGTCTTATGTTCTGTATGTGTTAAGTACAGTGCTCCACTTCATGGAATGGGTTTAGATATTATGGTTCAGTGGATCATTTGAACTGTGATGTCATGCACTTCTGGAAAAAGTAGTTGGGCATTGATTGATGGTAAGTGTGTTTGCTTTCTCTGGGTCACCCTGCTTTAGTGGAAAACAACTGATGAGTTAAAAAAGCCTTGGAAATTTCTCGTGATGGATGCAAGTAGCGGCCTATCAAGTGTGTGCACTGTATTATGTTTAATTTTTCCCTAAGAATATACTGTATTTAATAAATGTATGAAAGAGGGGAAGGTACCTAGGGATTGGCAGAGAGCATGTATAGTCCCTTTATATAAAGGGAAAGGGGACAAAAGAGATTGTAAAAATTATAGAGGAATAAGTTTACTGAGTATACCAGGAAAAGTATACGGTAGGGTTATAATTGAAAGAATTAGAGGTAAGACAGAATGTAGAATTGCGGATGAGCAAGGAGGCTTCAGAGTGGGTAGGGGATGTGTAGATTAAGTGTTTACATTGAAGCATATATGTGAACAGTATTTAGATAAAGGTAGGGAAGTTTTTATTGCATTTATGGATTTAGAAAAGGCATATGAATAGAGTGGATAGAGGAGCAATGTGGCAGATGTTGCAAGTTTATGGAATAGGTGGTAAGTTACTAAATGCTGTAAAGAGCTTTTATGAGGATAGTGAGGCTCAGGTTAGGGTGTGTAGAAGAGAGGGAGAATACTTCCCGGTAAAAGTAGGTCTTAGACAGGGATGTGTGATGTCACCATGGTTGTTTAATATATTTATAGATGGGGTTGTAAAAGAAGTAAATGCTAGGGTGTTCGGGAGAGGGGTGGGATTAAATTATGGGGAATCAAATTCAAAATGGAATTGACACAGTTACTTTTTGCTGATGATACTGTGCTTATGGGAGATTCTAAAGAAAAATTGCAAAGGTAGTGGATGAGTTTGAGAATGTGTGTAAAGTAGAAAGTTGAAAGTGAACATAGAAAGAGTAAGGTGATGAGGGTATCAAATGTTTAGATAAAGAAAAATTGGATATCAAATTGGGGAGGAGGAGTATGGAAGAAGTGAATGTTTTCAGATACTTGGGAGTTGACGTGTCAGCGGATGGATTTATGAAGGATGAGGTTAATCATAGAATTGACGAGGGAAAAAAGGTGAGTGGTGCGTTGAGGTATATGTGGAGTCAAAAAACGTTATCTATGGAGGCAAAGAAGGGAATGTATGAAAGTATAGTAGTACCAACACTCTTATATGGATGTGAAGCTTGGGTGGTAAATGCAGCAGCGAGGAGACGGTTGGAGGCAGTGGAGATGTCCTGTCTAAGGGCAATGTGTGGTGTAAATATTATGCAGAAAATTCGGAGTGTGGAAATTAGGAGAAGGTGTGGAGTTAATAAAAGCATTAGTCAGATGGCAGAAGAGGGGTGTTGAGGTGGTTTGGTCATTTAGAGAGAATGGATCAAAGTAGAATGACATGGAAAGCATATAAATCTATAGGGGAAGGAAGAGGGGTAGGGTCGTCCTCGAAAGGGTTGGAAAGAGGGGGTAAAGGAGGTTTTGTGGGCGAGGGCTTGGACTTCCAGCAAGCGTGCATGAGCGTGTTAGATAGAGTGATGGAGACGAATGATACTTGGGACCTGACGATCTGTTGGAGTGTGAGCAGGGTAATATTTAGTGAAGGATTCAGGGAAACCGGTTATTTCATATAGTCGGACTTGAGTCCTGGAAATGGGAAGTACAATGCCTGCACTTTAAAGGAGTGGTTTGGGATATTGGCAGTTTGGAGGGATATGTTGTGTATCTTTATATGTGTATGCTTCTAAAATGTTGTATTCTGAGCACCTCTGCAAAAACAGTGATAATGTGTGAGTGTGGTGAAAGTGTTGAATGATGATGAAAATATTTTCTTTTTGGGGATTTTCTTTCTTTTTTGGGTCACCCTGCCTCGGTGGGAGACGACCGACTTGTTGAAAAAAAAAAAAAAAAAAAATAGGAAATACAGTAAGTCTCAGTTTGGGTATTCTGAAGTAGTATCATTGGTTAACAGCAGTTTTTAAAAGCACTGTGGAAAGGTTTGTTAATGAGCGGTTTGGCAGTGTCCCGGTGAGACAAGTGCTGGCACTCAGTTCCTGTGAATGTTTGGCAATGGGCTTGTGGCTCAAAATCAAAACATGTTAAAAACAAAAACACAAATATATTCAATAGATATATTGAGCCCAGCTCCTTTTTTTCAATTTGTAACACCATTAGAGCCATGTTTATATATGCCTTCAATGACTGAGGTGTCTGCCAACTGTAATTGTGACATAAATTACTATTAAAATCAGTCAGAATCTTTTAAAAAATTTTATTGATTTTGCCAGAGCCAATACTGTAATTAGTGTTTCAATATTAGTGTTATTAAAGCTAAAAAGAGTATTTCAGGAAATATTGGAAGTGTGTGCACATTGTTCCAGGATATTTTATACTGTACTCCCTGCAGTTATATGTTCTAACTCTTCGTAACTATATCTATTGTCTAGCTAACTTTTTCCTCCAAGCTTGCAAGTTGTTTGTCATGGACTCATTTTACATTGTATCAGTCAGGCTTAATAACATTCTAAAGAACAAATTATTTTGAATTTTAAGAACTCTTTTACCTTTGATTCTCATCCAGCTTGCTTCCATATTGTCTGAAGCTGGCTCATAATCTGGGGAAACACATTTAAGATAGTGGTTAAGAATAGGTTTTAATATTATATGGAATATATTTTGTGGCCTGGGAGGAAAAATGGTACTGTCAGGCGTGTGTGTGTGTGTACAGCTTACCCTCCACTTTCGCGAGCTTTGAACATTCTCGAATGCCCAGCCACCCAATCATATTTACCAAACAAATGCAGGAAAATGCTTCCCGCCAGGTCCCTTCTACCCTTCCTCTGACTAACATTGTCGGCAGTGACGCTGGCAGTGAAGAGTTAAGAATCCACACACTAGACTCATTGTGCTATGCAGTTACACTCCATATAATCACCTCCATTCAACTGTCATCAGTAACTGCATAGCTAACTTTCATCACCATCATCATCGTCATTGTTGCGTTTGCAAATGTTTTGATGCTCAAATATATTGTAGGGAAATATAATAATAGCATTTACTTAGCCTAACAATACTACTTCCTTAACCTATTGAACCACGAACAATCATAAAACACATGAAAACATCGTAAAATATTGTATATACATGTTATGGTTTAATAACAAATAATGAACAAACAAAACACTCACCACTCGTTAGCAGACGAACTCTGGCAACTTGTGATGATGATGACAAGGACAACGATGATAGCCATGCAGTTACTGATGACAGTTGAATGGAGGTGATTATATGGAGTGTAACTGCATGACAAAATGAATCTAGTGTCCAGTAACTGGACAATGACTGAGTGAGTGGCAGGCTGCCGATTGAGGGGGAAGAGGGGGGGTTGGGGACGTGGGGGAAAAGCATTTTCCCGTACTTTTTCCCCAAATTGTTTGGTAAACAGATTGGGTAGCGGGGCATTCATAATGTTCGAAGCCCCGAAAGGGGAAGGCTGCTGTAATACAAATTTGACGTCTTTTTCATGTTTTTATGTTTGTTCGTGGTTCAATAGGTTAAGGAAGGGGGATTTTTAAAGGCTAAAAAAATGCTGCAAATTTTTTCCTAAAATATTTTGCACATCAAAACTTTTGCAAATGCTACAGTACAGTATTATTTTTTTCCCTACTCATT